AAAAGAGACCCTATGATATTTTCATGAGAAAAAGGTTTTGAAATCGTAGTAAAATAAGTCTCTATCACACTTTATCAGCCACTTCCACTGTAATGGTGGTATCAGAGCAATAACTTAATCTAGGATGAAATGAGCATGCAACATGTCCAGGAGGAAGATAAAGAAAACAACCAGTGCCCCAGTTAAGCTTCCTCATAACACAAACCCTTTGATTAAAAGGAGCATGTACCACTGACCTCATATCTAAAAATCACGTTCACTGAGTGAACTCAGATTTTAATTAAAAACAAAAAACAAACAAAAACCAAACAAAAACACAGAAAGGAAAAAAAACCTTCACCAACACACCAAGACAATAACAGGTTACAAGCTTATAATATATAACGTCTCAATAATGTGTTTGCAGTATTTCAATCAAGGCTCTCACTGTGATCCAAAATATTTATGGCACTTCCTTCACCTTTTTCTTGATGTCAGGCTATAAGGATATTGTAATCTAGCAAGCTTGAATTTTTATTCCTAAAAACTTAGAAATGTGTAATTTACTACACAGAGTTTCAACTACAGATAAATGTTCAGAAAAAAAGAAGAAATAGTGCTTTAAGAATTCTTTCACCCAGAGTATTGTTCTGATTTCAAGACATTATGAAGAACTTTAAGTTCATCATGAAATTATTTTATTTAGGTTATTTTTTACTCTGGCAGAAACACTTCAGCATGTCCATATAGTCTAAGATTACACACATTTTCTCAGCTGAACAGAGTTTTTGGCAGTGAATAATCCCATGCATAGAAATATTTTTATATTTGCTTGCTGTCACCCACGCTCGATAACACAACTTTTAGCTGAAGGACACAAAATTTTCGTCTTGTTCATGAAGGAAACTAAGGATAGGAACTACAGAACACCGCAGACAGATAATACCTGAATTCAATTACTTCCACAACTTAAAAAAAAAAAAAGGTAAGAGAAAAATATGATCTTACTTTTGCTGATGGGTTAGTCTTCAATACTTGATTTGCCAAAGAAAGGAGAGGTTAGGATGACAGCTGTTCATTACAATTCCTTCTTTACTACAAGAGCTTAACTCTGCCACTGGCTGGCTGGCCCATTTCTGTTTGCTTTAGCACAGAACAGTGCTCCTAAAAGCTCCTCCTATTGACAGCATCTGCCTGGATACTTCCCTCAACAAGCAGAAACAAGGTTTTCCACAGAGCCATTTACATCCTGGGAATGAGCTACAAGTAAGGGAAACCAGCAGAAGTAAATATTTTGATGATTAAGTCCAGGATTTGGCAGGTAGAAATTCATGCCCACTAACACCACCAGCTTTACACCAGAGCAGTCACATCTTCACAGTGATACAAATCAAAACAACAACTTCCCTGACAGAAACGGTAGCTCAAGTTATGCCTAAAAAATGGAAGCCAGAACTTTAAAAGCATATATCTCTTAAAAGTGTACCTATTACTGCAACATGTCTGAGCCTTCAGAGAAGGAGGGTTCGTTATTTGTTCGTTACAAGAGTTGGTATTTGTGCAAGTAAGAAAGGCATTGGTGAAGTATCCACACAAAACAATGTATAATAAAGTACCTAAATATATGTATTTCAATTATGGGTGAATCAGGAAGCAACTGCTCATTTTAACAGATGCCCTATATAAACTCCAAATACTCACCTTTTTCCTGGCACCCAAAATAGCTGAGGCAAATCTACCTTCTGTTCCCAGAAATGCTGCCTAGGGCAGATATTGTATCATGGCAAATGTACATGTCACAGTACTGCAACTTTATTGCCAGTGAAAATCATACTGCTCCATAACTTTATTTGCAATTTATAGGCTCTGTGGGAAATATGCCAGTACGTTCTCTTGGTCTGGACACAGCTGCCTGAATAGACATGGTCATGTAATGAGACCAGACAAATAAAAGATGGAAGAAAAAGGTCTAAACATTAGGTGAAATATATATTTATTTATTGTGGCTTACTCTCAGCTACTAATCAGCACATTAACCTTATTTTCTCCGCATGATCGCTAAATACCATACTAAAATTAGGTCAGAAATTCAGATCAGATCAGCTGACTCAGCCCAGCAAGATCAGACAAAGACTAGTTGCTTGGGTTTTTTTTTTCCAATCCAATACACTGTGTTTATTTCCTGAAAATAGATCCATACATTTTTCCCCACAATTAACCCATCAGAGCCACACATGATGAGACAGCAGTCACACTGAAGGTACATCAGTGCTACTGAGGAAAGACAACACAGTGTATTCTTTGGAAGGCAAAATGTGCAATGAAATTTTTTTTTTCAGGTCATTTTTCAGATCTTGTTTTCAAACTGCTCAGACTAATGCATTTCAATGAACTTAAGTCATTCAGCATAGTTATGAAATGATTTAGGTAAACAACAGCTGCTTCCAAATAGTGTTGTGTGTGAACACCACCACTTTATTAGCTAATACATTACTCATTATTATGTTTTTAATATACACAACCAGCCTTCTTCTAAGAGAGACCATCTGAACACTAAAATAGCTTCTAAATACAAAAATGGTAAACTAGCTTCTAAAACAATTCAATAATTGGACTATCAGATAATTTTCATAAGGTACAAAGGACTTACAGTTGCTTTATTTTCATCCCCACATGACAAAGAAGAGTGTTTGTGGGAACCCCTGCTCCTGCTCAAAAATCTACCTGCAGTTAATCACAGGGGATGACTCCCTTGTTGCTAAGGAGATTTTTTGCAGCTGTTGGTAGTCTCCAGACTGGTAGCACTGTTATCACTGCACATGTGCACCGCTTTCTATCTAGGCCACAGTATCAGGAATTAAGGATAATATAAATATCCATCAAGATAAGGTAAAGACTTAAGGAATATAGAACAGAACAAAGAATAAATCAATAATCCTACTTTACCTTTCCTGTCTGCCATGTTTCAATAGATAACATGGTTTTGGATGAATCTCTGGAGGTTACTACAGGGAACAGACTCAATTGCAATCAGCCTAAGTGACTTCAGACATCATGGTTGCTTTAGACAGATCAGATGTTCTCCCTTGGTCTGTCATTGCTTTTAGTCTTTCTAATCAAGGATCACAAGGATCTTTTTTTTTTTTTTTTACCTCTACGAGTTTCCATAAGAAAGAGACAGAGAAAAAGACTTGAAGAGAATGTTTTTCAAGATTTTCTAAGGTGTTTTTCCTACTTTTTTTTCCTCAGAGAGATATTGTTTATCCCCTCAGTGTTACTGAGATAAGACAGGTGGAGAGGGATGAGAGGAGACCACTGCAAACACAGTTTCCCACAGAAGAGCCCAATATTCAGGAAATGTTGATGCCTCCAATCCACATGCAGATACATGCTGTTCCTCTAATAAACCCACTACATTGCTGGTCCTAATCCTGTCTTCAGCTGAACTGATATCACTGAGGATCAGAACTCTGTCCTCAGTGATATCAGTTTAGCATGAGCAAGAATTTCATGGTTTGGCTCAGCCTAAATAATCTGTATTTGTCCAGAGCTCTTCATCAAATCACTTTGCCAGGATCAATAAAAAAAAACACACAAACAAACCACAATGCAGGAAATACTGTTACCACCATTCAAGTTAGGTAGAGAAGCTCGGCTAGAGAACTACAAAGAACCAGGTCAGTCTACAACTTACTCTCTCATGTCCCAAGAAACTTCTTCAAAAAAACCCCTGTTCTGGTACTTAGTGGTCTTTATGGTCACACATACAGACGTACACGCAAACAGGTTAGCCAGAGTACAGTCTAGTTAGCTGTATTCACCTTAATTTTACATTATTCTTATCACTCCAACTAAATTGCTGACAATCCCAAAAGCTCCACTTCCTGGAACATAAAGCAGCCATATTTTTGCTTTACATTCCTTTATCTCCCTCCTCTGTCAAACTGTATGTGCTGCTCTTTTCTTTTTAATATTCCATCAAAATAATCAGACTATTGAGGCGGTGCTTGAATGTTCACAGCACAGCATGTCTGTTACACCTGGATGTACAGTACCCAAGACATAGCACAAAATTTAATCACTTAAACTGAAATACAGAAGACTCATGCTGGGGGAAAAAATTCAAAGGGTCTCTCAGTTTGTGCTCAAGCCATCCATTTGCACAAAAAAGTATAGCATTTGGATGGATGATTTTAACCTCACCTCAAGAAAACCCATTTTTTTAAATAATGCAAATGTGTATGTAATAAGTATTTATATATATTCCATTCAACCTTCTTCTCCTCTCCAAGAGGCTGCAGAGATTTCATTGATATCCACTGGCACAAGAGGCCAGGTCAGGCAAGTGTTCCCTTCATTAACTGTCAATTAAAATCAATGGAACTGTTCAAGAAGAGCCATTATTGGGTACTGCCCATCAGGGGCTTGATCCATTTTCCTTTAAATGATTGCAAGATTGTTACTGACTTCAGAGCTCACAGAATGGAGAGGAAATCGCAAATAATAGACTTTTTTTTTTTTTTGCAAAACCTCAGATAGTTATTAAAAAGCTTTGAAAATTTACCAGATTTAAAACATCAGCTAAAGGAGAGTTTATTGTGACCTGTGAGGCTCTCCCTGTCTCGCTCGCACACAAATATACCTTCGCACAAAGTACAAACTGTCCATCTAAAATCACTGAGAGTTTGAGAATCTATTTTTCACTAGATCTACATCTCTTATTCTTGAGACCCAAACTTTTTGTTACAAATCACACCTGTTCAAAATGCCGCACAAGCTCAAACTGAATACATTGAGATGGGAATACTCTCTTCCATTGAGGGAGGAAGAACCATTCACCATCACGTCTATACAACGTAAAGTGCAATTAGAAGCCTGACATGGGTCAGTGGTCTGCACTGCTTTTACCAGCAAGCTGCTTGGAAATCAACTGGTCTACACATATTTCCCATATCTGAGACTGAGCCCCTCACTTTTCATTCACTCTGCCAGACCACTCATCTTTTTATCAAAATATTTACCGTTTTATTGCTTCTTCTTGTTTTCGACGTTTTTCACTCTTTTCTTTCAAGTAAGCCAGGTTTGTTTCATTCCTCATGCGATCATTCTCTCGAGCAATGTCTGATGCATTCTGTATAACCAAGCCATCATAGGCCTTCATCCCCATATCTTCAATATACTGGAGAAAAGCGCCCAAAGTGACCTCCTCCTGATTAGAACTCATCATCTTGCAGGAGATAATGAACAAAGGAAAGTAACGTTTCCTGCAGGTTGAAAAACACATAATACCTTAATCAGTAGGAAAATAGCTTATGGTTTATGACAGCGAGATTGTGTCAGTTGTAATTAACATCTTCATAAGAGACAATTTTTCAGACTTTCTCCTGTTTAAAGGATAATAAACAAAGCAATTCCGAACACAGAACATTACTCGAGACAAGAGGAGACAAAATCAAGAGTCTCTTCTTCCAGGCCGTGCAGATCCATCCAATTACACACTGTAAATCCCAAAAAAGTTCCCCCCCACCGTCTCCCTTTTTATAATACCCACCAGTTGCATTGACACTGACATCCCCCAATCTCATTTTGAATTAGATTGAGAAGGCTTTCATCACAGGACAATAGGTCCTTTTTGCAGTTTAGATAAGGCTGCACCAGAGCAGATTACCAAACAAAATTCCTATTCTTCAGGATATTCCAAAGTTCAGGTGAAAAATATTGTTCAATTTTTTGAAACAAAAAACTTTTCTTCAAAAAAAATTTCATCAGGTACAAAATCTAGAAAGAAATACTGTAAAATAGTTTCCTGTATTTCTTAGTAATGTAGATATGAGCCCATAAACCCTGGTCATCTGCTGCCCAACAGCTTGTTAGCTTGAGGCTCAAAAATGGACAAGACACCCCAGCTGAGCTGGGTCCTTCAGAACTCTAAAACCCTGAAATTCTCCAGACTTCCATACTTCTTCCACAGGTATCACAGGCACTTGGGTTCACAGCACCTCCAGCTAAGCAGCAAGGAGCAGACACACTTAGACCTTCAGGTCACTCCTGGCTCTATGGCAGGCAGCCTAAAAGCTCTCAGAAAGGCTCCAAAGGTTTTCCACTCATCAACAGACAACCTGGGAGTTGCAAGAACTCTGGTGGATTGACACATCAGTAAATACTACAGGAGACTAAAGGCAAGGTAGAATTTCAAGAGATATGCTCTCTCTCTCTCTCTAAAGTCTATGTATTGGATTAACTACTTACTAGATAAGTAAAATAGAACTTTATTAAAAAAATAGTTTTGCCATCTTATTTTAAACACTGAGTCCTGTAAGGACCAGAGACAGGACAACCTTGAGTTGTATTGTGTGGAGTCCTCATTTTACAACCGGGGAGTCGCTGCAGGAGGGACTGAGTGACCCGCAGGCAGACCTGGCAGCTGAACTCAGCTCTCAAAGGCACGTTTGCTTATTCACTCCTACAGCATTCCTCCCTTCCCCGAAGAAGGATTGTGTGACTTCTCGGAATCAGCCTGAGAACCCTGCCAGCACTACAACTAGCAGTGATCTTATTGAAGAGACAATGAGAATCCAGTCTGCACACAGATTTTTAGGGACAGGGTTCCTGTGTGATCAGCAACAAAAATCTTTCCCCCATTTCCTAATGTACTGTCTTATTTCTAATCTTTATCACATAGCTGAACAAGTAAAATTCTGATCTGAATAGGCACTGCTCCTAAATAAATAAATAAACAAATAAATAAATAAAATGCTCTTCAGGATTCCAGCAATCCACTGTGGGCTATCAGGCACAGCCCTGACCATGAGAATGCAAGGGATGAAAAAAACAGAGAAATATTTTTCCACCCTTGAATGTTTTTCCCCCCATTTTTGATTACTTGAAGTGACAATGGCAACAAGCATCTGGTTTCAGGCAGTTAATACCTTAAAAGCACACCAATAATTTTCTCTTGTTCCCCATGTCTGTATATCAAAATTATATCTATACAATGATGACATGACTGTTAAAATGACAAAGATTCAGAGAATGCAAAGAGTCTGCTCCTATTACCTCTTCTACCTCCCAGACAACCTTTTCTAGCAACTAAACCTGAACATGAGCATAAGGCTGATGTTCAGGGTCACTGAAATGATCTTTAAACATTTTCAGGCATGGGTATAAGCATCTCCTACTAATCCCTGCAGGGTAAAACCAGTGAGGAGGTCTTAGTGCAGCCCAACGTGCATGCATGGCATTTTACACAGCTTTGACACTGGAACAGACTAGAACTCCACTGGGTTGGAACAGGCATTCAGCCATTCCTTATATTCACCATAAGTGGCACACTATCTGCAAAGGAGTAAATTGGAAAGCTGATAATGAGCTAAACAGATTCTGCCAATGTTACTGGTGCTTCAGCAGACATTATTTTAGACCAATTCCCAACCTTGCTGATTAAAAAATGTAAGTCCAGTTACCAAAGCCCCTTCCTAGGAGTGTGTCTCTACAGCATGACACCTACCTGACTAAAGCCAATGCTAACAGCATAGACAACTCTAACTCCACTGTCTCTGAACTCCTTAAATGATATCTGCTCTTGGACGGTTCAAGTCCAGGCCATTTCCCCCCTGCAGATGGCTATTACACTGGTTTTTCCATTTTGGACTTCTAATAAAGCCTTGTTTCTGCATATGTTCAATTAAATTGAAATAAACCTGCACAACAGAAAAACCTCACTCTAGTAAACTCAATGGCAGTATTGTCATTGATTTGTCCAGTGACCAGATTTTACTCCTGAAATACATTAGAAAATTTTATACTGAAGATAACTTCAACAGGCTTTAAATAAATGCAGTTCTGATTCATTTTTCCCCAAGACATAGAACTTCATCTGCTTCACATTCTCTTTTGTGACAACAATACTGCACATTTTTCCCTCATTGTTTTCCTTTCACTTTGTAAGTCAAAAATGAGCTGCCACTTAGGATATACTGAATCTCCTTTTATTATGATGTTTATTTTTTGAACAGGAGGATAAAGTCATTCCAGTTGCAAAAAGACTGAAATAAAAAGCTTTTATTCTGCTGTATGCGCTGATGAGATTCTTTATGTGCTAGTTTATTGCTGATGTTTTCTACTACTAAATTCATACAGAATGACAAAACTTACACACTGTTTAATAGATAGACCAAGATATATTCTTTGTCCTAACTGAGGTCCAATCCTGCAACCGTATGAGCAACTGTAGCTATTGAGCTCCTCCCATGACTGTGATGCTTGCACACTCACAACACCAAATTCAGTTTGGGGTACTTCCTGGAGGTAGCTGGGGAAGACTCATATTTCAGAACCTTAAACCTGCACGTATGGCACCAACTCCAAAAAGCCTCTGTGCAAGCAGCAAGCATTTTCTGGATCAAACCCCCTGTACCTCCTGCATGCATGGTATTTTACAGCCTCACTGCATTTACTAATAATTTACAGTTGTGCATACTATACTTAAACAGGGATTAAAAATGCAAAAAGCTTAACTAATTACTGTAAACATTTTTATAGTATTAGCATTCCTTACAAGGCACACTAGGACCAATTTTATTTACAGGTATTAATGTCACTGCAGAGATACCATGTTACCCTAATAAATGTGCATAACAACTGCAATAAGCTGCAACCAATACATGTGGCCCATGGAGTCCCATGCAGTGCCTGCTGTCCCCCTCCTTGAAAAATGGCAGACAGCACTGATCAACCTTTGATCAAAGGTTCTGCTGACTTGTAAACTCAGGCAGTGAGCAATTCCTAACCATCTGCCAGGGCAGATACAAGTACAGGCAAGTGTTGTGCTGGAGTACATTTATATTTGATTAAAACTATGCAAATGCAAGTTGTTAAATAAGTAATGCAAGCTGTAGGTGAGGCACCACCATTCTGGTGCCCCTAACATGCACACTGTGGTCAGGGATTTTGTTAGTCAGTGACAAGTGCCATACAGTCACCTAAGTATTTGCAATCAAATTGCTTTCTGTGCATTTTTTTTTTTCTGAAATCAAGCAGCCCTGGAATATTCTAACTAGGAGTTGCACCATTTGAAAAACTGTTTAGACACTCCTTTCTTTTTCTCCTCCTCATTGTGAAGGAACAAAAGGAGACAGCAGGGCAGAGGAAAAGCACTGGAATTCAGTTGTTGGAAGTCAACAAACTACAAGGTCAACAAAAATTGTTTGGAGGAGCTTGGTTCTGAGTGTTCACTGAACATGAACATCTTTGAAAATTCACCTGAGCACATGGAGACAAAGAAGGAGTTCTCAGTCATGTTCACTTTGCTTCTTAAAGGTCAAACTAACACGATGTGAAACCTCTCTGAGAGAAAAAAACACAATCACACCCCTTCATACTCACTGACACTTGCCCCTCCAGGTACCCCCAAATCAGAGGGACACTGGCAAAGGAGCACAGAGCAGCTCACGTTGCCCTGGCTCATGCTTTCAGCTGTCAGCATGGGAGGAGTACAGCAAGAAAGATTATTTTTTTTCCTTTCCTGCCAGTGCATCTGGTTTACTGGCAAGGGCAAGCGGTCCCCTTCCTGGTTTGCTTAGAAATATTTACATAACTAAATTCAAGATCATTGCATTGATTCAGACACAGTTTCTATGGGAGCATAATGCATTGTGTTTCACAAGACTGTTGCATACCCTACTTCTAATTTAACTATTTGCTCTGATCCCAAATATACAACATTCTCGGTCCCAAAGCTCCTCCTTTTCATATGATCAGTGTGCAAAAATATTGGTTTCAGAATATGAGGGGTAATCGACCCAATATTACAGTATCCAAGCAGTGCTACACACATGAAGATTCAGACATGCCATTCTCCTTCTTATTCACATGAGGATCCCCAAAATATCAGTTGCTTTTCAGTTTGCTTGACAGCCATAAGCTGCAGCTGTGCTGCGTTGAAAATTGGCAATGCTGACATTAAACTGAAGGAGCTTTTTGAAGTAATGACAAAGGCACTGATTGCCTTCTTCCAAAGCAGAGGGTTTTTTTTTTTTAATTTTAACGTAGGAGAACAGAGCCTGGAATAGCAAGTGGGGAGTTGCCCAGAGTCCTGAATCCAATATCTAATTTATAAAGACCTACTACACACCTCTCCAGTCCTGCCTGATTCCCTCCCAAATACTGCTTCCTCTCCTTGAAAACACATCTGCTTTCACATTACCTATCAACTCCCTCCACTAAATTCAGTATATTAGAAGGATTCTGCACAAATCAAGGACGCTAATCAGCCTATCAACCCTCGAGTTTGAGCTGTTGCATTCTAGTTGCTTGCAAGAAAATAAGAGCAAAGTAGACAGGCCAGCCATATCCAGTTTTCACAAACTGCTGACCACAGCAGCACTAATAAGGACCTAATGGTATTGGATGTACAAAAAAATACTTTTGCTGTGGCCAACAAAAATTTGGTGATGTAAAAATATACTAGAGACTAGTTTGCAGAACTCTTATCATAACTGTGCCTTATATCAAGTGAGATTTGAAATACCCAAGCACTTGAATGTGATGATACAAATTGCTAAGACACGCTTCTTAGAGTTGCATCCCCTGCTCATTCCTAACAATGAGATGGCTTTACTGTTTTCACACACGGTGATGCATTAAATTCCAATGTCAAAGAGGAAAGACCTTCTGAAACTGGCTGCAAGTTTCCTATTGTGTGTCATTTGACAACTATATATGCACATATTTAAAAAAAAAAAGAACCAAAGAACCACTGCCATTATCCGGAAGTACAAAATACATTTTATAGTTTGACTGGGACAGATTATATACCTGGTCCTCATTGTACTGCACAGCACGAGCTCTAGCACCTGGGCAAAATCACTGAAGCTAAGTAGTGCTGAGCCCTTCACTTCAAGAGGTTAAAAGACTCTCCTTCAGTAGACTGCGAATGCTACTGGATGGATTTAAAGAAATAGTCCATTTCTATAGATGTTCTATTCCTCCTATGGAAGAGCTGTGTTCCCTATAGTTTTAAGGACCAAAAAAAATACCCTGAGACTTGAATTTTGGCTCCCTTGCAGATGCCTCTTGAAAAGGAAAAAGGTCTTTGCTTACAATGACTCCTCTATGACTCCAGGACGTAAAAAGCTGTTGTTTACTTTGCAATACAGCAACACTTTTATTACTTTTATCCCCTGAGGAAAACAAGGCATCCTCCTAACCACATGGGTATTGGACAATTACAAACCTAGGTTCAGAATGGCCAACACTTAAGTGCAATTATGACATTTTACTTCCTAATATGATGCAGAAGACTTTTAAACAACAAGAAGAAATAAAATCACACAACACCCAGACATATACACAGACATTCTATGTGCAAACAGGAGTGCATATGAACTCAGAAGAAATCACGAGCTTCTTGCTGACGGACTTATTTTTTCCTCCTATTTAAGAAAATGAAATGGAGATTTCACTACCACCAGCATCATGGTCATATGCTGTAAAATATTAATGGTACAGCAGGTCTGATAAGTAACTATCATAGATGTTGGAAATTATTTCAATTAATTAATCAGAAAATATAAAAGAATGGTTTTAATTATTTAACAGGGCTTTCTACAAACAAAAAAAATTCAGCTACAAAACGTCTCTATTACAAGCACAATCAACACGTGAAGTACACAAAACCAGTCAAATAGACTTCGGCCTTTAGTTTAGCAATGGCTTGATTAATACAGTCTAAAAATACATGCAACCTTATTATGCATTCTGACTATTCATTATTTTACTTTGTAATATTATTTTTTCATTCTAATTAGCACCATATTTCATTAGCATGCTCATAGGATGTATTAAAATATGTACGTACCAAAATCTAAGTCCACGGGGACCACTAAGTGCAATAATCAAAGGTGACTTTTGCCTGTAAAAGCCCTTTCCTGTGGTTACCTCAGTGCAGTCGGAAGGGATATTTCAGCACCATAAGAAACAGATTTTCAGTTAGGCTCAGTTTTTTCTTCAGTTAAAGTGCATTAAATCTTGCTGGCAGAATTGCCCAGATTGTAGAATTCGACATCACTACAAGTCAATGTGTTATGTTACAGATCTTCTTAACATATGATTAAAATGGCATGGAAAGTTTGGCTTTGAAAAAAAAAAAAAACAAAACAACGCAGTGGAAAGAAAAGACAAGTGCTTGCTTCTTTAAATCCACATTCAGAGAAGAGAGGGTATGGATAATGGGAGGGTATAAACAACACCCTGCTTTGAGGTCCAGCAGAGAAGAAACTGGATGATTTTTACCCACTTTACAACACAGACGATTACAGCACCATCATATGCACTAACACAGAGATTTCTAAGGTGCCTCATTTGAATATGTTCCGTGGAGACAAAAAGAAAGGAATATAAGGAAGAGCAAATATCCTATCCAAATGGCTTCTTGCAGCAAGGAAAGACGCTCGCTCGCTCATTGCCACTCAAATACAGAAGGTCTGAAGCAGTCTGGTTTGTGGCATCGTCTCTCTCTCCCCCGTGACTACAGGCAGGCTTGCTCTCACCGGCTGCCTGGCTCTGTTGGTGCTGTTGTTGATTAATCAGGAATTCTCAAACAAAGAGCAAGCCTACCTTCGGGTGCCAGCAGGACTGTGGGGCTCCTCTCCTGCTGCAATCCGGCTGCCCTGACCCCCCGCGCAGCCAGCATCATCCTAGCACCTCGGACAGCTCCGCCGCGCCGGGCCCATGGAGAGGCGGGACGGCGGAGCGGCAGCGGCGGCGGTTCTGGCTCCGGGCTCGGGAGCTAGGCAACAGTCTCGCTCTTATCTCCACTGCACTGAAGTCTGATTAGCAAATAATCCAGCGGGGGGTAAAAAAAATCTGCATGAGCAGCACTGTACATCACATGGAGTCTATAGGTGGGAAAGAATATGAAACAACGCCCTTTCCCCCTCCTTCTCCCTTCCCAAAAAAAGAGAAATTGTTCTTCCACGGAGATTGTGTAAGTTAACCTTTAGCCCATATTACGGCTCAGGGAAATGAGCAGCCACTTAAAAGGAACATCTACCCCTCAGTTTGATACCTCATATTGATGTATCTTTTGCACTCACCCTCACTGAAAAGCAGTGCAAAGCACACAATTACTGCTGACGCAGATGAGATTGCTGCTGCTTGGGGAAGGAGGGGAGGAGCTTCTCAACCCATCAAAACAACCTCCCACCACCTGCTCCCATTGCACGAGAACAAAACTACGCCGCTCGGACAGACTGAGCGTGACATTTATGCCGTTTTACTTATATTGATATGCACACTCCGGAAAGAAGCATTCTGTTTGAAAAGCATTCAGGGTGAAACTACACAGTTTAATGCTCATCCAGAATTTGTGTAATGGTTTGGAAGAAAACATTTCCTTTCTTCTGAACTGGATCAATCTATGTTATAGCTCCTCCTTGCAGAGTATGTGCAGTTTTGCTTTCTCTCCCCCAAACCTGCAGCCTGGACACAAAGCAAAAGCATTCACTCCCTGTGCCAAAGCCAGGAAAGGAGCAATGGCTGAATGTGCACAGATTGTGTTACCCCATTGTTAAATGCTATTTGATTCTTTCTCCTTTCTTGAGTTACAGGCATATTTTTCTCCAGCATAAATCTTGATTCTGATGTTACAATAGCAGTTGAATTTATTTCTAAAACTAATAACAGGAATTATAGTCACGGAAGGAAATGCTTTCAAAAGTAATGCATGTTCACATGAAAAGCTGTGCAATACAAAATAAGACCCTGCCTACAGAGCACAGGAGAACTTCCTGTAGATTTATTTCCCCCCAGCTGGAATATCAATATTACCTCACATTCAACAGCCTTCAAGATAGCCACCAAGACACACTGCAAAACATAGTGACCACCTTCATGCATTGAAAGCATAGCCTGAAAAAAGCCTGATTGTAAAACTGTCTCTCATATTCATTAGTAATTCATTCCCTGCTCACTGTAATAGTTGCATGTCCCAGCACACCTCTTGCCACTCTGTGAAACAGGACACTGAAACTTCCACATTACATCTCCAAGAGACCGTTTCAAAAGGGTTACCCTTAAGAAGGGTTACAAAGTCAGAAGAATAGGGCTTGAAGATATGGAGGGTTTTCCTTTGTGTCAGGAAAAAAGACCTGGAAGGGAAGTACCTAGAATGTAGAACTGGAGGCAGTCCTGGGAAGAGAGTTCTTTTCCTAGCCCAGAGGCAAGCCTGCAGCTCTGCTTCTGATTTTTTCCTTCCTTGAAGGATACCTTAAAAGCAGCTGTGGCCATGTGGTGATTGGGGAATTCTTTCATTTTCATCAACTGGAGATTCCTGTCACATGATATCCTCTTTTTTCCAGTACTTCTCCAGGACCCTAACTCTGCCCCAAATCATGCACTGAAAACAGAGAAACTGCACAGTCAAATTTGTTTCCAAGTTACTTTAACAAAAATATTACTGTAAAGTCATTGCAACTTCATAAGCAACTTGAAGAACTAGTAATTTTAATCTGAAAGTGTGAAACACTTGGCTATGTCTTTACCACGTGGTTCATCCCAGTAATTGAACTTACTTATATACAGTTATCTTCTAGACTACATATGTTATTACACCTTAAGGAGTGTCCACATTTATTGTTCTTGCACCAGGGTTACTGCGGACCATATCTCCATCAGCTGTGGGAGGAAATGTCCATTTTTAATTCCAATAGCACTATGGAAAGGGCACTGGGATTATATCATGACCTCTGCAAGGTTGGAAGTTCCATTCCTGGTTATCACACACACAAGTCTCTCATTTGCTTCCATAGTCAGATAACATCAAGCCAGGAAAAAGCACCTACAGAATCCATCATGGCACTTCCTGTGTGAACAACAGAAGGGCTGGACCAAAATTCAGGTAGCGTGTTTTATGTCATTCATTTTTATTCCCAAGTTTCTTACAGCACAGTGCTATGATCACCTTTAAACACGTTTAATGGCCCTAATGAAGCCATGACTGGCTTTCACTCCCAGGTTATGAAAGAATTCTAATCAGTACAAATCTATGCACCTCCACAAATTATTACCTGTGTTCTCATGTTGCAGAGGACTACACCTGGCTTCCTGGCCTCCAAAGAGCTACCAGCGGAGAACCATTAATTCCTCACAGTAGCTGTCAATCCCCTCTCCCCATCTCCTTTGCTCCACATCCCTCCTGGAGCTTACAACCACACATAACTCCAGTAGATGTAGATTACTTGCATTCACTTTGAATTTCTGAAAAACTCGTGCAAAGCTTCATTACATAGCATATAGATTAACCTACTTTATTTATGTATGTGTAGGTACATGCTCACATATATAACAAATATACAGACAGACAGAGAGAGAGATGTCACTTGACCTGTGGCTGGCATTTGCACACCAGGAAAAGAGAAGATGAACAGTGTGGAGCCGCACACTGGCAACTACTCAGTCTTAGAAGAGTTGTGGGATACCCCAGCCTCTGCCTGGCTGTGAGGAGGCTGGAGCACACAGTATGTAGCAAGGAGAGGGCAGACTGCTGCAGGAGGCTTCTTTGTCCAGGGGATGAGGAGCCCTTTCAGGCTCAATTGACATGCTCAGGATTTGCAGGGCTCAAGACTGCAGGCAGTGGAGAGACAAAGGGCTTTCAAGAGGAGGAGAATATTCATTTAAGATGCTAACAGACCACTTATTGACTGAGAACAACAGTCTGCCTGTCCCTGAAGGGAAGCTTGAGGACAAATGGATTGGAGTTCAGGGCCAGTGACTCAGTCTCTGTCCTGGTTTGTGAATGAAGAAGGAAGGCTCCCCAAGAAAAGGAAGCCCCACATTTCCAGGCCTGAACCTGGTAACACCTGACTTGATGCAGGGACTGTTATGTAATTATTTATGTTTATGAGGCTCAAAAAAGGCAGGTTTCTTCTCTTTGAATGCACCACTCCACACATCATCTAAAGCTTCTGCAGAGAAGGCAGTTCCATGACAGATTTTTATATCTGACCAGCAGGCCATAGATGAAGAGCTCTAAGAATGGAGATTCCACAGGGGCTAAAAAAATCTGAAATAAAAATCAGAAATTGAGGACTTAAACCTGGAGATTCCTGACACCTAACCAAGGGGAGAATGATATGAGCTTACATTCCTGCACCCAAACTCTGCATCCCAGTGAATTGGAATAGAGAGACTACTGAACAAGACCTGTCCATGCAGCAGCCAAATGAGACAGGGTTCCTATCAGTCAGGTTTTGCCAAGACCAAAGGCTCACCAAGCCAGAATCATCACAGTGGAAGCTAAGGGTGGGCAGTTTACCCACACTTAAAAATACAAAACCATCAAGATGCTGACTTTGGCTGATTAACAATTTGCTTGGCTAAGCTAACAAACTTGGTTTGCTTATTTCTCCTTTACTCTGCCTCCTTAGCTTCGATTGTTCTTTCCTGTTTCTTATGTGCTTAGTCCTGGTTCTTAATTTTTATTGCTGCCAGTCTGCAATTGCTCTCACCACTTCATGCCCACTGTAGTATGGATTTATTGCTTGACCCCTGGCCACATCTCTTAGCCTAGACCTTGCTATTATTCTTGACCTTTCCACAAGTTGCATTCAGCTTTTCTTGATTCTAGCACCTACCATCTGGTTCTAGTCAGTCCCAACCACTAGGACCCATTTAAGTGTCTTAATTTCACAATAAAACAATAGTTTCCTCACAGAGACTATCATCATCTCATGTGTGAGGCAGGTGAAATTTTCAATGACAGTCTTACCTGTGCTTCATTCTAAGTCTGTTTAGTAATCACTGTGATGTGCCTTTAGCACCAAATGAAAAAAAAAATCTCCTTAGATTTTTATTTGGATTTAAACTTGAGTTAATAAATATTTTTAAACAGAAGTGGGTTAATTCGAGGAAAGTGCATAGAAAACAAACTACATCCAAACCCAAGCACAGTGCTCACCATAACCTTGACCTTAAGAAACTGTCTCAGATTTTGTTTGTTCATGCTCTTAGTACCCACCTACCATCATGCTAAGCTAAGTGAATACTTAAGGATTTGCAATTAATTTTCAACATGACCTGCTGAAATAAGTTGAGCCTTCAAGGCTGCTTTTCCCAAATAATTTTGTACCATGCCCTAGGTAAGCTTTAATGTTTGCACCTTTTCCCCTCAAGCATTCTTAAAACCCTGAGAGTTCTGCAGTTGCTCCCTTTCCCATCCACATTTGACTCCTTTTGCCCCTCTCTCCCTCCTCACACACACACTGCTGCCATAACAAGTAAAACTACCCACACAATGAGAGTAAAGGAAGCTCTCATTACTTCATCTCAGCATTTGTTTCAGCTATTTCACATCCCTCTGTAGAACTCTTTCACTTCCCTGCAGCACACTGGCTCTATCCCTCCCACAACCATCATGCACATTTCTCTCCAGAGTTCTGAGGAGGATTCTTCTAAAGGTAAAACAGTAGAGGGGTCCCTACTCATGTAAAAAGCCAATTAAAGTTAAATGCTTAACTGCCATCTGTGCCTTTAAGAAAAATCTCTTAATTTTCCCCAGTGATCAATTTTTTTCACATGGGACCAATTTTGCTGTTATTGCTTAGGCAAAATTCCCAATGAAGTCCACGGGGAACTTTGCCTGAATACAAAATATGGAGCAAAACCCTGCACTTATTTGCATAGACCACAAATCACAAAGATCATGCCCTGATGCAAGTGATTTATCCTACATGACAGCTAGTGCAACTGGGCTATTTTAAACCATGACTTGTTGTAAAATATTTCATGATATTTACCATTCAAAAAAGAGTCAATTGATTCTTTTTTCTTAAACGGGATGAGATTGAAAGATTCTGGCTGCTTTCCAACCCCATTAATTACTAAATGGTACATTTTCCACAGAAATGTTAAGCTATAAGTAGTTCTTCTGGAGCCAGTTAGCTCCTACCTAAAATCAATTAAAGCTGGTAAAGATACATTTCTATGGTCAGGTCCCATATACAGACATCTGTATTTATAGCACAGTGGATGCTGGTAAAATCTCCCAACATAGATGCAGTTGTACTAGCAAAACTGTGCTTTCACTGTTCATCTCATACAGGGGAT